TTTTTTTTTTTTTTTTTTTGTATGTATGTTTGTGTGTGTTTTATAGTTATATATCCTTTTTTTTTATCCATTTTTGATTAATTTATATTTCTATAGCTTTAGATTTCTATTTATATATAAGTAACGAAGTTATTTTTGTTGTTCATTTGAGGGAACGACGAATAAAACAACCCCCGAAAAGAAAAGTAGACATCAAAACAAATTATGAAATCTTGTGTACTTTTTTTCATTTTTATCGTTTCCAAAAAAATTACTATTCCTCGATTTTTTTTTATATCGTTTATACAAAATATTGTAAATATATGAGAGAATATGTAATGTAAAATATCAAGAAAAAAAAAAGACAGTACAACAATGCCGGATTTATGCTGCTCTCCTCTGCTCTGCTCTGCTCTGCTTTGCCCCGCTCTGCTCCTTCGCCTCGCTGCTGTTCTTCGTCGCTCCTTTTCTTCTCCGCTTTTCTTCTTCTTTTCGTCTTCTTCGTCTTAAGCCCGATACTGCAGCAATAAAATTTTTTCATAGATTTAAGGAACCGGCTTTTTGCCCGAATTTGTGTTTGTATGTGTCATTCTGCAGCTCTTTCTACCATTTTATTGCCGTTGTTGTTGTTTTGTAATAATATTAAATAATAAATTAAACGGCAACGAACAGTTAGAAAAAGACCGAGGAAAAAACTTAACAATGAATAGGAAGTTTAACTGCACTAAAAATTTGATTTCATTCTTTTTTTTTTTGTTTAGTTGTTTTTTTTTTTTTTACTAAAAACATTATTTTATTCGTTTATTTGTCATGATGAATTTTATTGTTAAACCAAAAGAATGATGAAATTATGCAGGTAAGAGTAAATACATCAAAGTTTGGTAAGTTTTTTTTTTCTTCATTGTTGCTGTTGTTGTAAAAAATTACAAATATAGTAACAATGACAGAGAAATAACCGCATGTGGTTAGTGAAAGTTGTGAGATAAATATATTATAATGATAGAATGGAAGAGGTAGTTGAGCTTTATTGTTTACTATTTTAGTGAATCAAAGATCAATGGGCCAATTCGATGTTTACTTGAGTTGGTTAGTCGTTGTTCGGATACATAGCGGCAGCACAAGGGCAGTTCAATGGTTGCCCGCACTCCTTTAACACTGTAAATTATAAACGCATTATTGTTGTCGTCGAAAATGAGTGGTTTTTTATTGTGTGGAATGCGGGAAATAAC